TCGACCATCCTAACCACGATGCCTTCCCAGGTCCGATTCTCCGAGGGTACAAAGACCACCGATTCCCCCAATAAAGCCCTCATAGGCGATAAGAACCACACGAACATCAAGGAGAACTTGGATTATCACCGCAACGAACTGCGTTTCAACATGCACGGCAAGATCAGCCTCATCCCACACGCCGACTTCTTCGACCGCTTCCTCCCTTCGATGAAGACACCCAGGTCGGAATCCAACAGATTCAATGGCTTGGAAACGCCATCCTCAGAGACAGATATGTACAAGTCGCTGGTGAGTATCGTCCTCATTGTTCGTCGTCGATATAGAGTCGTCTCGCTGATGCGGTGGTTACAGCCTAAGGCGCTGAACAATGCCCGCATCTGCCCCCGCTTCAAGTTCGTCGCGCATCCACACAAGCCTGACAAGACCGAGCACACGAAACAATCCGTCGACATGGGCATGTACCCAGCCGACAACGTGCCGGAGGCTGAGAACAACGCGATCTATCCGGGCGTAGACTGGTCTTACCTCGAACTGCCGATGGAGTGCAAGACGAGCAGCACGGAACAGGACCCCTTCGATGAGGAGCGGGGCGGCGAGCCGGTCGGGGAGAAGCGCAAGGATGTGCTCGGCCAGATCCTGTCGTACGCCGAGCTCGTCTTCCAACGTCAGCAGCGGATGTTCTTCTTCATGGTGATCTTCCTTGGCGATTACGCCCGCATCGCGCGGTTCGACCACTCGGGGGTGTTTGCGACTCACAAGTTCGAGTACAAGATCAAGAACAGCCCTTTGGTCAATTTCCTGTACGGGTACTCGCGTCTGCCGGCTGTCGAGCGTGGACACGACCCCACCGCCACGCGAATCCTATCGACGGACCCGCTCTACGTGGAGATGAAGGAACGGGCCACAAAAGGCAATTCGGATGATCCGCACGATTACGTGCGTGAATTGTTCAGACATACGCTCAAGTTACGTCGGCCGTGGTGGAAGCTGGAGGTCCACGAGCAGCGCAAGGATGACGCGGGACGCGACCTGGAGCCCGTCATCCACAAGTTCGCTGTCGGCGCACCGTACTTCCAAGCTCCCGGTGTGGCTGGACGGTTCACGCGTGGCTACATCGCCTTGCCTGTCAACGATAAAGGCAAAATTGACGACGAAGCTACGTTTGTGTTTCTGAAGGACGCGTGGCGTGTCGACCATCCGGAAATCGAGCAGGAAGGGGAAACACTACGGTTTCTCAACCAACGGAAGGTGCCGTTCGTGCCGACGTTGGTGTGCCACGGCGACCTCGGGCAGGTCACGAAGTCGCAGGAACACTGGAAGGAGTTGCATCCGGAAGTAAAGAAAGTCCCTTTGAAGACGCACTCGCTTTACCGGGTGGTGGTGAAGGAGGTCGGGCTT